TATTAAAATGCAAAATTGTGGATAGAAGCTTACTTTTGAAACAGGTACCAGCAAAATTTACTTTGAATAATAGAAGAATTATCGATGGGGCCAGGGTGATACGAGTCTCTGGTATCGTTGGTGTCTGTCAGATATTCAATCAGGCGTTCGTACCATGATCTTGCCACAAGGAACCTGAAACATTTAACACTTCAAACTCACTGCGAAAAAGACACAACAGATAAACATAACATATGATAAAAAGAGATCAGATACGCGTGACTGGGATAGGTTTGATAATTGGGTCAAAAGTAACAGTATATAACCAAGAAACCAAACTTAATGGACCACATAGAGAGATTGCATGGACTCAAAAAATTACACGAGAAGAAAATGACACTTTGTCTGAACGTTGGAACTTCGCTGAACGTCAACGAACAGAAGCATCAGTACATAACCTAAAATATTGAACGCTAACCTCACATAGCACACGGAGAACTGTAAAATATTCACTCACACGAACGTTCTACGTGAGAAAACGAAAAGAATGCATAAAAGCACCCAGTAGATAACAGAAATTGGCCCGAAAACCATGTAAAAATGGGAAAAATCGTGAAACCGGATGATTCTTTCAAAGTTACAACTCAACCGTAAGCAGTGAACATAACAGCCATTTCAGTGCTCTTTACATTTCTAACATCAATTTATTTCAACTAAGTTAAGCCAATATCAATGACCAAAATATAAGGGAAGACAACGGTTAAGTTTTAAATATTGTTGAGTCACATGGTTCTAAGGGGTACAACTAATCCCTATTGTCGATTTACTCAAAGAATAATAAGAAGGTAAACATACACACAAACCCTACTTACCATTTCTCTCCTTCCACAAGCTTACGCGAAACATATTCTTCTATCTTCTTTTTCTGAATTAATAGCGATTCCGTATCCATATCACTGCTCTCCATTTTCACCATTTTGGAGAAAAGACCTGTAGTATCTGTGTCTGTCAATGACAGCAAGGAAAAGAGTTAACCAACCGTGCAGTAACAAATCTTGAACGTTGTGCCTACAGAAAAATGTGATAAGTACTTTCTTACCCCTATTTCAAACTGCTTTGTGTAGGGCAAGTGATATCATGACATATCATGAAATGTTGAACCTTAATTTGCTTTAACTACATAATCCAATTTTTTTGCAGCCTGAGAGCGCGAACGGACGACTTCCTTCGTCATCACGCCAAAGCCCCCTAGATCCTCCTCCTCCCCCCACCCGCACAAAGAAAATCTTTCACAACGGACAACATCTGTAAAGTCACGCAAACTCCACAAAGCGGGGCGAAAATTTTGCTGCATTTACAATCAATATGGCTTCACAAGTCACTGCGGCTGAGTACTCGCACTCGAAAATAACAACTAGACGCGAATGGAAACTCATCCAACTCCGAAAAGCGGTGTCCGCACATTGGTACGCTTGGCCGATCTATTTAAAACACTGGCTACGCGTGCCGCGTGCGGTGGCGGCCGCAGTGCGGTTGAAAGGGTCCTGCAGGAGAAAGCGCGTGAAAAATTAAGGAAATAGCCGGCTGTCTGTTTGATATCAACGCGACGGCTCGCGCACTACGATCGCCAGTGATATCGGGGAGCGCTTCCCTCACCGCGAGGCGCGACGCACGGGGAAGCACCTGCTCAGGATATACGTATGGCGGAAAGAGAGGGACAATAAGATAAAGCCATGTCCGTGTTCGACGCGCTGCTGGCGGAGGTGTGGTCCGCGGCCAGGGAGGACGACAGCACGCTCTTGGCGGACTTTGCGGCCCCCTCGAGCGACGCGGCCAGGGCGGCGCGTGCACTCCGCCTGCCGCAGCTGCCCCGGACCCGCCGGGCGCTCCGGGAGCACGCGGAGGCCTTCACCGCGACCGGGCAGGACCAGGACGAGCCGGCGGGGGCGGAGGACACCGGGCTGAAGAGCAGCCTGCGGACAAAGCGCGCCATCGCTCGGGCCCAGGATGCTGCCGCCGCCTCCAGAGACCTCGACGCGATCCTCGCACTGTCTGAGGCCATACGGTGCGCACCCCGGGCCACGGGTTACCGGTAGCGCTTTCAAAGAAAATTGTTATTCCTAAACGCTTCTATGCTATGCTTCAAGGTTCGCGCGAAGCGGAGAACTTGAAGAGGCCATGGCCCTTGGAGGCCGAGGCCATGCGCTCCTCAGGCTACAGCAGACTGAGGCTGGGCTGCAGGACCTGCGGCGTGCCAGAGAGCTGCTGGAGCCTCTCTTAAAGGTCTCGGACGAGTCCAAGACTGTGCACCTTGCGTCAGACCTCTGGTCAAGCTACTTACGGTGAGCAATGATACACTTGTCGGATCCCTCACGACCGTCACTGATCAGCAATTTACACGGGAATGCAAACCTTCACCCCGCTCAGGACATTGCTGGACATCGCCTCCTGCCTGGAGGCACGGAGAGCACTGGCTGAGGCCGAGACCGTGCTCCGGGAGGCCATGGCGGCCGTGAGGGATGTGGCTGAACGCCTGGACGCCAAGGACAAGGCGCAGGCCGTGGGCATCATCATGCAACGCCTCAAGGAGATCGGCGGCCCGCAGACAGAGGTACGGTGGCGGTGAGCATCGCTGAGGTATAATGTTTCCTGCGACCCTCCGCCACTCAACGGCGTCGGCCTGTGTTGGATGTAGGAGACACCGCGGCCTAGCAGGCCGCCGCTCTCGTCCTCGGGACTAGACGCCCTGCCCAGGCTGCTCGCCGGGCCCCACCCCACCCTGACCTCGGCGTCAGCGGCCCTGGAGGAGAGGGTGGACGCGAAGCGCGGGCGACACCTGGTGGCCGCACAGAACATCCCGGCGGGTGAGTACTTTGACGCTTCGTTATTATTGTTTGTCTCAAAATAAATGTATATCATTTTGAAAAGACTGTGGGGGACGTTGCGCCTTTGCCGGCAGGAAGCGCCATCATCGTGGAGCGGCCGTACGCTTGGTCCTTGGCACTGGAGGAGATGGCGACACACTGTCTGCACTGCTGCAGCCCGGTCCTGGCGCCCCTGCCCTGTCCGCTCTGCAGCAACGTGAGTAAGGGGCATGAAGCTCGTCGAGCGCGTCAGCCGCTGTTGGTCAGAACGTCGGGTCGAGCGTCGAGTCGAGCGTCGAGTTCAAAGGCGTAGGGGTGGTGGGGACGGGACCAGTGGCTGGAGAGCCAAACTGGAACAGCACCAGGACGTACATGACCACTCCCAGGCTCAACTAGAACAAATCGTGAACAGGGGTAAGGAATGTCCGGGAGCACATTTAAAGCATAAACTGGAAAGAAGGATGGTTTCACCATTCTTCTTGGTCTTCCCCGGATCTTTTTACCGAGGCCAGAAGCGAGTTATCCAGAATGAATATGCCAAGCGGTGACATATTGAATTTCTGGTGCATCAGCTGCATGGAAAAGATGGTCAGCTACAAAAAAGAAAGAAAAAGATTAATTTGCATGGCTTAAGCAGAAAACGGTATGGAGAGGGAAGGAGGAGTGAATGTGCTTACCTGAAGACTTTCCTCTTCACTAATCGCTATGTTGCTGAGGGCTTTGTGAACCAAGGCGTGCGTCTGCATGCCCTGCGGTGCACACCAAAAGTTAAAAGTGAAAGGCTTCACTATCGCTCACAGCGTTCCCACATTTAATTATTAGGAAGAAAAACAACACTTTGAGTGGCATAGAAGCCACTGGTGAAACAGTCCAAGACCGCCGAGAAGATTTCCACGACCCCCGTCCCCGTGACCATATTTTTCCTCTGACTTTTTATGACCATCCCCGTTTTCTACGTTTGTGGAAACCCCGTCTTACCAGCCTGTGCATCCAGTAACACGCCTGGCAGAGGGAGACGGTGGATACCGCGCTGTACATGGTATTGAAAAATAAGACGGTCGCCTCTTGTCGTTCGTCTGTCGGCTGATCACCTCGGGACAGGAAGACGATGAACTGATAACTCGTGAGAACGGTTGTCCCGAAGTCGTAGAGGAGGATGCCGGCGATCTGCAGCTCGTAGGCCGTGTTCAACAGTTCGGCGTAAGTGGCGATCCTGCGTGCGATTTGCAGAATAATTGTCAAAATCACTCCCTCTTCTCCAAATCCTGTTATTCCGAGTCGTGATGTGATCACCCCGCGTGCTGGACGCGCAGCTGCGCTATCTTGGCCGCCGCGTCCGGCACGTAGTGCAGGCGCATGCGGTCCCGGAACAAGCTGCCCAGCTGCCTCAGCTCCTCGTTGACGGCGGCGAAGCACAGGCGCGCGCGCCCCGCCAGGAACATGAGGTTGAAGCGCTCCAAGAGGCCGGTGATGACGACCAGCAGCAGGATGGCGGTGCTCGGCTGGGCGGCGGCGGGCGTTGTGAGAATACCACAGTGAGTGCTTTTGGTGGTTTCTGACACAAACAGTTTGAAAACAGGCGCGCTTCAACCACCGACCCGGAGGTGGAAGGTTGGGGCAAAGGGTTCAGAGTCCCGCCCGGACGCCACCTCATACTCACCTCTCTCATCACGAAACCGTAGTCGGTGTAGACGTATGCGACGGCGTAGGGGCCGAAGAAGTAGAGCAACGTCTTGGGCGTGGGGTGCGCGATGGCGCCCGGGCACACGGGCCAGTTGAGCAGGCGGGGCAGCAGGCGGTACTTGCGCACGGCGCCCGCCACCATGGCCACGGCGCTCAGGAAGGACGCCGCGTACGCCACCGCGCTCATCACGTTGATCAGCCCCGTGGCGATGTCCGGGTCCCTGAGGGCCCTGAGCCCCTGCAGGGAGGAGTCCGTCAGTGTCCCATCATGTCGCCGTGAGATCTCGTCTTATATGGCAACCTACTTCGAAGCACAGGAATCCGTCGATGACCATTAGGGCCAGAAACAGGAGACACGAGTACGCGGTCCACGCCAGCGACGGCTTGTACTGGGGCAGGCCGTTGGTGCGCGGGACCTCGTCGTCGCCCGGCGGGGACGTCGGCGTCAGCGGCACCCTGGACGAGACGCTCTCCCGGTACACGGGGCACAGCCCTATCGTGCGCGTGAACAGGACGAGGAGACGCATGCCGTCCACCTGGAACAAGCAGAGTCCGTGCCCGATACTTGGTCTCTGTGCGCGACTAGACTCTATCTAAAGCTACCCCCTGAGCACCTTTTTGGACTTGGGCACCCTCGGCATCGGCGGCAGCGGCTCCACTGCAAAGAACATCAACCACTCAATTAACAACTTATCTTACACCAGAAAAGAGGTTTGCTTTAACCGTCGTGGACGAACGGTTGATTCATGTACCGTGTGATCGAGAGACTACCCTCTCGGAACCTTACCCGCCACAGACCGCGACTGGAGGGCGGCGACCGACAAGGCCTCGAACTCCCTGTGAATCTTCTCTCGCACGGCCTGCCTACTGACCGTTGTGTCCCGGGCAAGCCGGGACACCCGGGATTTCGGCCTCGAATGCATGGCGGTGCACGTCAAGTTTCCTTACGGTGGGACAGCGTCGAACCACGAGGTCCTCGTCGACGCGTCGTCGACGCGGTCCGGGCCGGGCCGGTCCGGTCGGGGCCCACAGGAGCCAGGCCCCAGGTGGACGCGCGGACGCGCGCACTCGCCACGCGCGTGCACGCGCACTCACCGTCACACCGCGCAGTGTCGGTGGGCTTCCCGTGCGACGCGCCACCAAACACTCTCCGGGATTGCCGGCCCATTGATTCGCTGAGACAACAGCCGCCTGGCCTGCCCCCGCACTGCCCGAGCACTGCCCCCGCACGGGCCTTACTCCGTCTTATTGTCCCTTCCACCTGACCGATTGACCCCTACACCAACAGGTGGCGTTCTGCGGCGAGGACTGCCGGAGGGCGGCGCTGTCCTCCTACCACCGCCTCGAGTGCCCGCTGCTCCGGCAGCTGGTGGCGCCCCAAGGCCAGGGAGGTGGCGGCGACCTCACCCCCATGGCCCTCCTGGCCTTCCGCATCGTGGCCCGCGCCGCCAGGCTCGGCGAGGTCACCGGCGGGCCGCGGCTGCCCCAGGAGTTTGTGGATCTGTACCGCCGGGACGAGGACGCCGGCAAGAAGAAGCGGAGGAGGAACAAAGGCGGCCACCTGGACGGGTAAGTTGCGTGGTCGATGGCGGCGCTCGAACCCGACGTGATATGATGAACCGCCTGGTCTCTGTGGTGCAGGTACGGCCCGGTGTTCGCACAGGTGACGCACTCCGAGGCGCGCACACCGGCCGACCTGCTCAAGCGCGCCGTCACGTCCGCCTACCTCACGTGCTGCCTCGAGGCCGTCCTGCCCGACGGCGTCCTCCCGGAGGACGAGGCGCAGCTGCTGACGGCCGCCTTCCTGCGCCACCTGCAGAGCTGCTCGTGCAACGCGTACCAGGTCTCGGAGCACCGGTGTGGCGGGGCGGGCGGGGTGCGCGCCTCGCGCGGCGTCGAGCTGGGCGGGGCGTGCTACCCCACCGTCTCGCTCGTGAACCACGCGTGCCACCCCAACGTGGCGCGCCACTCGCACGGCAGCGTGTGCGTCGTGCGGGCCGTGCGCCTCATCCCCGAGGTGAGCGAGCGCAGCGAGCGCCCGTCGAGTCCCGGGTAGGCAACCCAGCGAGCGGTGCGTCCGTGGCGTGCGGTGTGGCCTATCTCGGAGTTCGCAGGCGGTCTCAAGGGTAGCACCACTCGGGTAGGCAACCCTGAACAGCAGCCGTGGCGTTTGGTGTGGCCTATCTCGGAGTTCGCAGGCGGTCTCAAGGGTAGCACCACTCTGGAGGAGAATGAGCGCCTGTGGACTCTCGGGTAGGCAACCCTGAACAGCAGCCGTGGCGTGTGGTGTGGCCTATGTCGGAGTTCGTAGGCGGTCTGGAGGAGAATGAGCGCCTGTCTGCCCCGGTGTGGGCTGCCCAGTTCGATACGTTCGGCTTCGGCTTGTGGGTCTCCCCCCTCCAATGAAGTTCGCAGGCGGTCCCGGCCGGCAGGTAGGACCTTAGTCTAGCTGCCCACTCTTTCTCCAGGGCTCCGAGGTGCTGGACAACTACGGCCCCCATTTCCTAGAGCTGGAGACTGAGGAACGGCGAGCCGCGCTGTCCAAGCAGTACATGTTCCACTGCGATTGCGACGCTTGTCGCTACGGCTGGCCCACCCTCGAGGGCCTAGACCGCCTGCCGCAGGTCGATCCCAAGTAAGACTGAGGACGAGGCACAAGCATTTGTTCAGGGAAATCTGTTTTAAAATATTTGTGTAAAATTTCCCATCTTTTACTCGCAGGGCGAAGGCAAACAGCAAACAGCAGAACCTGCTCCAGGAGCTGAGCGGGCGCCTGCAGCGCGGAGTGCAGGGGCTGCTGGAAGGGCGCCCCGGGGAGGCGTTGCAGGCCGCGCTCAAGTACTCCGGCAGCCTGCAGCAGCTGCAGCAGAAGGGGCGGCCCCCGAGCGCGGAGCAGGTGCGCGCCGAGCAGGTGGCGGCGCTGTGCTGGAGCCTGGCCGGCAACAGAGTCGACTTCTGACGGCGTCGTCTGGACTCTAACAAGTGCGCCGCTGCCGGCCGTGGGGCACAACAAGTGCGGCGGCGCGGCGTGCGACTCTACTCCGTGCCGAGGAGCGCGGGCGTGCGGCCGGCCGCCACTAGATGGCGCGGCACGGCTGGTGACACTGGGACTTGGTGCGTGGGCAAGGCAGTAGCCAGCAGTTAATTCAAACGTGTGCGTGTGAGAGAGAGAGTGCGAGACAGACAGACAGACAGACAGACAGACAGACAGACAGACAGACAGACAGACAGACAGACAGACAGACAGACAGACAGACAGAGAGACAGACAGACAGACAGACAGACAGACAGACAGACAGATAGAAAGACCCCCAGAGAAGGAATACTCCCCCCTCCCTCGCACTACCCCCCCTTTCTTTTTTTCTGCGATTTCTTTTTATTACAATATGAAACGCACCTTCGAAACACACCCTTTATTCCTCCTCTCCC